ACGTTGGATCTATTACAACCTCGGAAAGTGAAAAATGACGGAATATACTGCAGAAGAGTATACCAATATGATTATCGTATATGGAGCAGCCGACGAAAATGCTCGTGTTGCGGCTCGTTTCTACGCGGAGCGATTTCCCGACCGTGAGCGACATCCCAATTCGAATGTTATTTTGAGATGTGTGAAAAAATGCACTGTGTTATCTACCGCAAGGTAGTGTGGAAACATTAGCATAATACTTCCTATCAGAGTTGGGCAAAAATGTAATCTAATTAACAATTACAAATTTCAAAAAAAAGTATACCGATTACTGTTTTTACAATAAATTCTTTATTTTATGTAAATTTACATTATTTGTAACACGTAATAAAGGTAATAAACAGGTCGTAAAGGTAATTGTGCATATTAGGATAAATAATACCTTGCATGGAAGCATAATTAACATAAATAATATACAATAATATCATGCATAACACAAATAATATAAATTACAAATAATACCAATAAAGGTAAAAATTATACGTATTAATAATTAAAACAAATAATATATATATATAAATACTCTACACGAGAGCATAACAGCCAGTCATAAATTTGACACAAGAAACTGAATTAGGAAACGATAGCAAACCTGGCCGCAGTCTTACTATTATAAACACGTTCAAAGTCCATTGCAGCGTGTTCTTTTCTTGCTTTTAATCCATACATTCGCAATCGCATTGTGATAAACCTCTTCAAGATTTTGGTAGGGGTATCATGGCAGAGAGGTACATTTGCTCCTTCCCAGACATACTGTAGTTCTCCTGCTAAGAAGTCCACAATGTTCATATCTTTGGCTTTAGTAAGTGTATCTATCAGGTTGCGAAAGATAATTTCAGTCTTCATAATTGCTTTAAAACAGGAATCTGACACATATAGAAGGCCTCTCTCACTGTAGCTCCTCATTTGGACAATAATGGAATAAGCGTGATTCCCTTCACCCTTCCAGAGAACACTTTTGAAACAATTATCACAGACTGTCATATTCATGCATTTCACACTATGCACAACTGATCCAGCTATGTCATATATTATTGGCCATTCCCATTTATCAATGCTATGCATGTTGTTATCAGTCACCTGTGGGACTTTAATGGCACATGTTTCGAAGAATGCATTCAAGTCTTTCTCATATTGTCGTGAGGCTGCTACAGCTTTAGAAATTTCCAGGAAATCTTGCTTAATTTTGTCACCTTCAGTGGCATCAACATCTCTTTCATAGCTGATGTTTCTCTTTGTATTGCTGCATAACTGTGACAAAATAATCATTTTCAAATTTTGTTTCAAATGGACAGCGTAAGGAACAGGCTGTCTAAAGCGCAGAAGAGAAAACAGATTTTCGAGGCAATCCTGGGTGAAGCGGCCAAGTAACAAAAAAGAAAAACCAATTTCATTTAAAAAATAATTCTGCAGCAACAGTAAACAATCAACGGCCATGAGTAGTCCTGTTTGGACTGGTTTCCAGTGACCTTTTGTACCAATTTTCATGTGTTGGAATACATAGGCTGTGAATTTAAGATGCTCAATGGATTTGTTGTATGCGTCTTCATTTTTCTTACTGAGAGCCAACTTCCTACTTCTGTTGGTGACAAGAGCAAACCAATGATTTACAAGGGAAATGAAAAAAGCTGTAGTGAGAATTTCTGAATCTCCTGTGGTCTTTGCATAGGCATTGAGGCCAACTGCCGTTCTTCGACAAATTACAGACCTTGCTGTGGAAACTTTCATTACGGAAAAGTGATTATTTTTTGTTTGGAGATTAGACTCTTTAAATTTGTTGGCGATCTTCAATTCAAACTTTTTTTCATAACGCACTAGTTTTTCTAAGTGTTCAACTTTTACAATAGGATGGCTGAGGCCTTGAGAATGCACAACTGACTGAGGCAAACAAATCACTTTCTGCTTTCTCCAACATGGAAAGGATATTTTTAAATAAATGTACAGGATCAGGCATGATATATAATTTGTCTTGTGGTCCTGCTGGGTGAGGGGTGGTGCACCTCACTTCACCGTTTCGATATCCAACATTCCAAGCCCTCCACAAAGATAGATTATCAGATCCCATGTCTGAAGTTACAGAGGCAACTTTCAGGCCAATGTCCTTTCACAATGATTTTACTGATAATGTCTCTTAATGCATTTCCTGTAACATTATAATCTGTTTGTTTTGCTTCGGAATCAACCTTGTTTGTTAAATAATATGCCACGGCATACTTCCACCGAGTGGTAATTCCTGCTAATGCAATGACCAATGCTTTCTTTGCCAAGCCGATGTGCCCGGAAAACGTACATGAGCCAATGATTTTTTTATTAGAAGAGTCATATATCTCACCAGATTTAATAGCCATTTCATCCAATATTACTATGCAATGCATCTCATAAAATGCCATACGTGGAACTTGACACTGAATTACATCAAATACTTCTTCTAGAATGCCCGATTCAAACTTTATGTGTTCAACTGCTTTCTGAAGTGTTCTGACTGAAGGGAAAATTGGAATCTCCCTGACAAAGTCCGAGTAGCCTTGTGTGTCCCATTTCATTTTGTAGATTATTCCGTCAGTGATGGTTGGAGTACTCCACTTTCTTCCTCTTGTAGTTTTTGAACATAGAGCCTTCAATTGGTCTTGACGTAACCTGACAGCGAGGTTGCTACGGTGATCTTGAAGTCTTTTAAGCTCTATTATAAATTTTTTGTTTCGCCCCTTTATATTGCAGTAATTGTTGAAAATTCTACCTGCCATGTTGTGCATAGAAGTATATTTTGTCTGGAATGCGGCTAATTCTTTTTCTTTTAATTCTAATCGCCGTTTCAAAGCTTCCACAGATTCTTCTTCCGTGATATCTGTAACTGGTGAAGATGCTGACGATTGTGTTTCCGATGCAGATATTTTCTTGGCTAAATTGTTAGAGGTGACAAAAGTTGCTGGACGGATAGGAGTGTTATTTAAATTTATATTTATATCCTTCAAAGGGCTTCCTGCTTCCACAGATTCTTCTTCCGTGATATCTGTAACTGGTGAAGATGCTGACGATTGTGTTTCCGATGCAGATATTTTCTTAGCTAAATTGCTAGAGGTGACAAAAGTTGCTGGACGGATAGGAGTGTTATGTAAATTTATATTAGATATATCCTACAAAGGGCTTCGTGATTGGGAGAGGAGTATCGGAGAATGGGAGATGGCTGCTGGAGCACTGGACAGACGACAGTTGTTATGCTGATCAAGAGAAGGAATGTAAGGAACAGGCAAAGAGTTTTCTCCTAACGATAGTGTTACGTCCAGACTCGAGGAAGGATGAGTCGACGGAAGGGGGCAACAACTATCTTTTATTTTCCCGAAATTAAACGTCTCGTGGCGTTTGGAATCGGTTCGAACGAACTGACAGGTCTGAAAAGCAGGTAAACGACTGAGTCGCTGTTACGCTGGTTATTCAAACGTTCGTTCGGTGGTCCCTTTTCGGCAAGAGAATTTAATCTCTTTTACGCGGGATGGGACCAAGTGCGATCTTTCGACTAAAGGAATGAGTGGGGGTTAATAATGAGTTATTTTGATTTTAAATTAACAAAATGTAAATTTATTAATTTTAAAGTAAATGGTGGATATACATGATTATATAAAAAAAAAATAAAAATATTGT